CTTCACTCTATACGGTCCCTTCTCTGCGTCTCCACGAATGCCACTCCACATGAACGAATGTTCCGATTTGAACGTAGGTCATCCTGTGGTTTATCTGTACCAACTTGGTTCACTGTTCCAGGACCTGTTTCACTGAAGAGATTTGACTGTGCCTCAACGTATGAGCCCGTCGGTGAGGAAGTCCAACTTATAAATTGCAATCCACATTACGCCCATGTTCGTTTTCCCGGCGGGAAAGCACTGTATCCGTCCGTCATCTCGCTCCTTGTGGTGATCGCACACGTCAACGATTTCACGCGTACCTCATCCAACGAAGACAATGGTGTTCATGCACCCCCTCTATCTGACTTGCACACGCCTCCGCTCAATGACATTGGAGATAATATCGATCATACTCCAGTGTCACCCCCGTGCCCGGGCACTGCACCTGCATCTCCAGATACATATGACCCTAGCATCTCTGATTTAGCCAGGCTCCAGCAGCGTACACGGCCCTACATTTTAAGAAATCGACAAGCCTAACCACACTCATTAATACTCATTAGATTTTTACATTCATCCAATACATGTACCCAATTTATCCCTCTACACACAATCCAACGGCCAGGGTGAATGTCATGAATATTCTTTGTGCTCACATTATCGTTTTGTATTAACCATGCTTTTGCCTTCGTTTTCAGCTTATGTACGTCTATTCTTAGACAAGTAAAGCGCTATTCACTCTGTGCTATTCTTGTTCTCGCGCTCAATCAGAATCGATATCCTATTCGTAACACTCCCCCATCCACTTTTATTCTTTTCTTTACGATAAGGCTTTCAAATAAGTCATGGTTGTACGGCAGTGAAGCATCGGTGTTGAACACTGATGTCATGCTGTCGATGGTGATGATGATGATGATGATTGAGTACCCACGCTGCCTTCAGATGTGGTTAGCCACTAGATCACCGATGCATGAGGTGAATACGGGATCAAGTATGGGTCCTTCCAGAAATCCGCTATTGGTCACTCTCCCCTCAGAGTGTCCCATTCAGGCGTACTGCCGAATGTCATCCAGACAGAAATCGGCAACCTAATTGAGATGTGCACTGATTTAATACCATGTGAACCAGCATAAAACGCACACGTGGCCAACACCATCGAAGGCCTTGAAGTTGAAAGTGTCACCGCCGTAGGAAACCAACATTCCCATGCTCAGCCGAAGACTAGTGGGTGATAATCAGGTGATAATCCATAACGTCTAAGTCAAAGGTCGTGCCACTAGGCGTGGGCTTCAATTATATTCTTAGCGATTTTCCAAGAACCTTGGATAAAATTGCAGATACGATCTAGTGACGACTACGACAGGCCGCCAGAAATTCGGTAATAGCAGCAGGTTCACTTGACATCGTCGGATGAAGGTAGCACACGTGTGGAACCGAACCGATAGCGTCTGTCACAAGTCACGTCTGGTTTGTAAGATTGTCCCCTGTTGGTGGCAAACACAATTCGGGTACACGGGGCGGAGTTGCCAAATAATACAGCTTCTGGTGCATCTGGACGTGTTGCGCTCTTTAACGATCATGACAAACAAAGCGGCCGGCTTACAAGGCTCGCGTCTTGATACACGCGTAATCCTTGAGAGTTTAGGGCCACGAGAATTTCAAATGACTGGTAAGGGTAGCAGCGGCCGATTTTTATCCGCTCTATAGCCGACGCAAATGTCTACAGAAGTCAAAGAACCGTAACGGGTATCGCGACGCCTGCAAACAGAGGTCCTGTTGCAAGAGAGCCGGCCTGAGAGCCGTTTGCCCAACCGATCCTCGTTCACATGAAGCCACCCATTATAGTGCAATTAAGTTTACCAGCCGGTTTTTTTTAATTTAAATCGTTCGCGTTGCCATTAAGTGGACTACGGTATGGAATACAAAAACGTATCACATCGTTATTAAGTAATAGGTTCAAATTCTGGGGCCTAGCACATGTTGCAGCGCCTTTAGTATGGTAGAAATAGGACGATCAGATAGACCACCTGTCATTAGAACTGACTGTATTAATCAAATCTAAATAGCTGATGGGTTCAAACAGACAGGTACTTAGGCGACATTAGCGACTCCCCAAAAAACCGCCGTCTGTCGGCCTGTCCGAAGCCCCGGTTTCAAAACTCAAACTGCGCGCCGTCAAGGTCATCCCTTATTAGGCGATACAAGGGAGGTGCGTCAATTGACGTCGCTCAGTATTCGCACAATAGAATTGAAATTTTCGAAAGTCATGACGTGTCCCTGATGGACCAAAGCAATCAGGCAATCAAGTTGAGAATACCAGTCCACACTTTTAGTCCTACTTTGAGCGTCCCGGTGTCCCAACCATGCTGGGATATTATTCCACAAGGCTTTTTCAGACTGAGGCATTGTTGCTCCAGTGAACAGAGAAATTTGGTGACCTGCGGAAATATGTGCGTAGATTAGGACGGCTTTTGGTTTGAGCATATGCCCAAAAAAATTCATCATCCTTCCGAAGAAATTTTAACCTCAGTTCTAAATATTTTCAGCTGAGAGCATTGTGCGCATAATGAGCACCCCAACAGACAGTAAAAGCCGTCAATCGACAGGTTGTGGCGCCGGCATTCACAGTTGTCCTGCTCATACCGTGTGCAACAACATGGTCCATGAAAACTCCATAAAGGGCTGATTTTTCTCCGGCAAATGTTTTTCTCTCCAAAACTTAGTGGGTCAAATGAAAACGTTAATGCGGAGATGCTGCATTTTCTTGCATGTGTTCTGAAACCAAAAATCAACCCATTCTACCAATATTTTGCTGCGGTTAGTATGAATTACTCTCCCATCTTCAGTTGCTGGCGCACGTTTTAAACTTGCGGTGGTATGGCTTGAGGCCGAGCTTTAGAAACACATTAAAAATTTCTCTAAAACCATAGTTTGACAGACGGAGACTTTAGCATGAACTTTTAGCATTTCATGGTACTGTAGAGGTCTGGCTGCCCAATAAGTTAGTATACCAGAAGTGCATGGCAAAGAAATAAAAATAATACCGCAAGGCTGGGTACACAATAGTAAACAGGTCAGATGGAAAATACTCACTAACAATTGTTCTCTTTAAAATAGTTCGTCGTTGGCCCAGGTCAGCGAATAAACAATAATCCGATTATGTTGGTCCAGAGGTCTTCTTCTGGATAGTTGCCACATATAATAGATTCCGAAGATGGTCTGAAATGTTTTGGAACCTGAATTAGTACATGAGACTCGCGAATGACGGCTGCAATCGCGAGTGACGCACGTGACCACGCATGTATTCTCTGAAATTGTACAAGCGCGCGTTTTTGTAGTTTTTCGTATTCAAACAGAAAACTGCTATGCAATTGATGAAATGCGTAGTGTTATAATGGAAGCGAAATAAAGGTTCAAAACGCCACACTACGAATTCGAGCTATTAAGATCTCTCCGCGTGGCTGCAGTCTCGTTGAATGTTGTTTGAACTGCTTCGGGGCCCAACGTGGGCGCGGAATACATTTTTAATGTCTGCTCCTGGCTCCGCTTATATTGTCCCTAAAGAAGTGATTTCTCCACGTGATTTCTTCCGTATTGGAATTGGAAACAATCTCAAAGCCACATGAATAACAGTTGCGCCCTCCACATCAGCCCACACTCAAAGCGGGGCGACCGCTCGTGGCCGATTGGGGAAGAAGTCTTCTATGGTGGCGATAGGCGAAACGCCAGATATAGCCTGGGATTTCGCCACAACCAGTAGGTTTCTGTTTTTAATGATGAACAGCACACGCTTTATGGGGCGCATGGTGAGGGTATACCGAAGGATATACCGAACCCTTGTTATGTGAATTGGTGAGTTCACGGGTAGAATAATTAGGGAACACCGAAAGGTGCCCAGTTTTCCCAAGTCCCTACACATATCAGACGGATTGGGATGGGCGCGCGTTCGGTAGATATTATGGATACGGTGAACCACAGGCAAGCCATTCTGCTGAGTATGGCAGTCGCTGAACCGTCATCGCGACATTATAATTAAGTTCGTGTACAGCCCCGTATATCAACATCCTGGGTGAGTAGTTTGGTGTTTTCGTTGGGGTTTGGATTGTACAAGTAATTAAGACCAGCATGGATCAAGGATGTTCCTGGGTCTGAACATGGCGCGCGGTTGTTCCTTGTTTCCGTTCAAACTGAGCAATGATGCTGATGCTGATGATTTTCAACCACTGCAATGAGATGACAGTGCCCGTTATCAAACGCGGTAATCGATATTCATGTGCAGATAATGGGTATGCGGTCGATGGGGGCGTGTGTGAGCATACGTGAATATGAGGGTTTTGCATCCGCTAACTCCAGCCTCGATGTAGACGCCGATCGGGGCTCTGGACAAAGGGATTTATTACACCCATGGCGAGTTAACCAGTAAAACTTCGTTCCATCGTTTGTTGTATGTATGAGTGTATACGAGTCGTAATCAGAAACCCTGTCAATTGAAAGCGGCTTTCTGAAACTGTGGGCTGGACTGACTGCACGATACCTTTGTACTGATTCAACCAACAAATAAAAACATGATTCTCCAAGGGTCGTTGTGTATCTTCCAAGCATGGGCCTGGCAGGCGGACGACATATATGGATATGAAGGACCGCCGTTGGTCGTTGGTTCAGTCTATTATATACAGTTAGTGGCTTCTTGTCAGCTGCGAGCATGGGTACGGACCCGGCAGTTGCGATAAGCAGCTAAGATAAGTGACACTGCATACAGTAATGAGTGTTAGGGGCCTTTCCGGCTTGTGCGTCACATCACTATGCTTTGGTGAAACGTCATAATCAGCGTCGCACACAGTTGCTGGCCCAGCAGTTACGATAAATAATCATGGCGGGGGATAACGGCAACCGTTGTCATGGTTAGCCCTTTATGACGTATTCTACACGTGGAGCGTCATATGTCCAACACAAAATGATACAACTGTGTTGGTGAATTGCCTACAGTTACCCTTTGACCATCTATTGTCTGCAGACTAGCTATGCTTATCGGGGAAAAGGAATCACGCACAGAGGCGGCGCTCGCATATCCACTGCGCGAATCACGCTGTTGCATAAAAATTTCGCACCTAATGGAAGCTGAACTCCACAGGAAAATTTGTCGGAACGCATTAGCTGAATAGACTCATCTCACTTTTTAGATCCGAGAAACCTAAAGCAAACAGACCTCAACGAATCGTTTCCCTGGGTATAAGTTGCATTTAATATTCTGTGGATGTAATTTCATTCCCGAAGAACACAAAATGACACAAAAATATGCTAAAGTGCAACTTCATGTTTCATCTCTTCTAAACCGGTAATAAAATGCGTATGGGTAATGGTCCGTGACTTTGAAATCTCTCTCACAAAAAATGCTGCGAACAAGATATTACCAAAAGATCCAACCTGATTAGACTAACTCTCCGTAAAAGTTACAACTTCAAAACCCCTATGGTTTCGGTTAAATTGATTTGGGTACGCTCTTTGTCAGCGGAATGTCCTTAGCCGCGCTTTGGAAGCAT